AAGCACTTCTCCGGAGGAAGAGGATTGCGGCCAGGAAGGGAGATCTGTCTTAGCTGGGGGGAGCTGAGTATCCTCCTTCCCATCTCAAGCGTGAACCTCATTTCCAGAAGGGGCCGCAGTTCTTACGTTCAGCTGTTGCACACTTGTAAACGCCTTGTCGCGAAACCTGAAGATTAAGTGGGAACGCAATGTTGGGAACATGCTTGCCAGCGTGAACCCCCAAACACTGGTTCTTGCTCCCACTGCGCAATCTTCATGATACAGTTCATGGGGTGCAGCCTATGTGGAGCAATCTCTCAGGTGCGGCATGTCAGATGCAGCAGATGTTGTGCAAGCTATGTGCTGCAGGGTACGCGGTGCAGGCTATGGAATGCCAAATCTGGGGATGTAATCGAGGGGGCGCAGTCCATGACGCGCAGTCTACGGGGTCCATTCGGCGACGTTGCGGCCATGGGCGGCCACCGGGCAAAGACCTGGCACGAGGCGATGCCGAAGCGGCGGTGTGCGGCCACCAGCCGAACCCCCCGAACACACCCAGCAGCCAGCGCGCGGGGCGGCGACGAGGCCTGCGACGAGCGATTACAGGCCTCCTCCTCCTTCTCCGCCTTCTCCTCCTCCTCCTCCTCCTCCTCCTCCTCCTACTCCGCCTCCTCCTCCTCCGCCTCCTCCTCCTCCTCCTCCTCCTCCTCCGCCTCCTCCTCCTCCTCCTCCTCCATTCCCTCCTCCTGGGCTCGTGGAACACCCAGACAGCGCACAAGCCGGCGACGAAGCAGCAGCGGGCGGCCACCAGCGGAGACCCTGGGCACACACGGCCAGCGCGCGAGGCAGCGGCGAGGTCGCGACGGGTGGCCAGCGGGTGCAAACTCTGGCACGTCTGGCCAAGTGTTTTCCAGGGGAAGCAAGAGAATGGAGACACGAACAATGGCATAAACATGATAACTCGGAGAGCCGCGCGGATTTCGGGGATCCGCGCTGGACCCCCCCCCCCTGGCGCGCGGAGCGCGGCGCTAGGGGCGCCGCCAGGGGGCCCCAGCACCGATCCGAGAAATCCGCGCGGACCTCTGAGTTATTCTGTTAGTGCCATTTTTCGCTCCCCTAAAGAACCCCTTCGTGCAAAACGCTGATTTGGGAAAGAAGGCCAGCCATCTGTCTGTGCAGCTGCTGGAAAGCTTTCGAGCGAATGTGCGCGGTTCCCAAGCCGAGATCCCCAATTCAGCAACGATTTGCCTCCACCGGTGCAGTGTGTGTATCTGCCAAAGGTTGGCGAACGAATCGCGGTATGACATAACATTTTCCATCATCGGGGATGCCTGTCCCGGGGCGGTTGGACAGTTTACACACCGATGTGCTGCAGTAGGGGTGTGGACTTTTCGGCCGCCCTGGGACAGGCGTTCTTAACGGCGAGACAGTTAATCTGACACCGCTTCTCGCCCGCTAAGAAAGAAGGGACCGCCCTCCATCCGTGTAGCTGTTGGACATTTCAACTTTCAGGACCGCAATGGGCTCGAGGGCCTTCGTTTCTCGGATGTTCCCCTCCAATATTTAGTTCGATTTGTTCTGGGGGCCTTCGGGGGTTCTTCGCGTTTGAGCAAGAGGACGAATAACGAGGAACAGCGGAGGCGCTGGAGGAGAAAAAGAAGGATGAAGATGAGGAGAGGGAAGAGGCAGTCTTTGGGTGCCTTTCTTTCCTCCTTCCCTGCTCCCCGTGGAACGGGGAGGGTATGCTGAGTGACGACGAAATGCGCGACGAAGTGTCCGGTCAAATTGAGCTTCTGGAGATTACGCCAGCTCATCCTCTTCTTCATCGTGCTCCCCTTCTTCGTCCTTTTTGATATCCTCGCCCTCCCCCCCTCCTGTCACCTAATTGCTTCCCCTCTCCACTTTTCCCTCCCCCTCCTTACCCCCCTCTTGATCATCCTCCTTCCCCTCTTCGCCCGATTCATTATCCTATTTCCTCTCCTTCTACCCCTGTCCCTCCCTCCTCCTGCTCCTCCTTCATCACCTCCTCCCCTTTCCCATCCTCCATCCTCGTTTCCTTCTGAATTTCTCCTCCCTGTCGCATCCCAGGACGTGTCGGGAGGGTGGGTCGGGCGTTTCATTTGATTTTTCCTCACCGTTCATGATCTTGGAGTTCTGAGGTTGCCGCAGTTAGAGGCACAATTGCGGTATTGTGTGATTCAGGATTCTCCGGCGGTTGTTTTTCCAAGGGGACACTTCCAGCAGTAACCATTTATTCTTGTCGGATTTATAGAAACTTGGAGGGAGGGCTTCTTGCAACGCCGCTGACACGTATTGGGTTTACACTGGTCCCCTTCTTCCTCCTCCTCCTCCTCCTCCTCCTCCTCCTCCTCCTCTTCTCTTTTTCATCGTTTTTGTTTCTGTTCTCTCTGAACCATTCCCTGAACCCTTCCGAAAACCGCCAGAACACCGAGCACGTCGAGACCTTGCGAAGACCACCCTCCTCCTCTCCAGGCCCTCGGCTCCGTGCAGTTCACGCCGCGAGATCCGTGGAGCTCCCCATCACCCCGCCACGACAGTGTCTGCGCCGCGTGCCGTTTATGATGGCCCCGCGCTTTTGGAAAATGCTCCCCTGGGATGCCGAGGTCGCCCAGCACGGCCGTCGTGATTACAGTGGAGACCCATGCCAAGAAACACCCTGCTTATCTCCAGGGTGCCCTGGGCCTCTCGGGTTTCGATGGTTTCGCCATGGAAAGCGGTTTCGTTATGGACAGCGTGACGATCCCGCACCACGGTCTCAGGGGCGGGTTCTTGTGGAAGGCTTCTTGTGGCCGAGCTCCTCAACCTTCCGTGCTCCATCAGCGGCTCCCTCTCGCCCCCCCTGGCCCCCATCGGCTCCCCCTCGGCCTCCCCTCGGCTCTGTCTCGGCCTCGGCCCTCGGCGGCGCTCCCCTCTCGGCTGCTCCCGCGCCCCTCCGGCCTCGCCCTCGGGGAGCTCCGGGGGCCCGACCTCTTTTCGAGGATCGAGGGCCACGGGGGGCCCGCGGCGAGGGGGCTCCTCCTCGCGGGGGGAGGAGTGGCACGCCGCAGGCCGTTGGGGGTGCGCGCTGCTCCCCCGCTCACGCCTGTGAAGGCACGGTGCCTCCTCCGCGGCGGCACGGCGACGGGCTCCCCTCCCACGGCGGCGTGTCGTCGACGCGTTGTTGTTCCCCCGATGTTTCGCGACGCCTGCTGCTGCTGCTGCTGCGGCTCTTCCTCCTCCTCCCTTCTTCCTTTGCTCTCCTCGCTCAGCGGTCGGTGCTCGGTTCCCTGCTTGTTCCCCCGATGTTTCGTGACGCCTGCTGCTGCTGCTGCTGCTGCTGCTGCTGCTGCTGCTCATCTTCCTCCTCCTCCTCCTCCTCCTCCTCCCTTCTTCCCTTTTCCCTCCTCGCTCAGCTATCGGTCCTCGAATCCCTGCTCGTGTCTCCGACTTTGAGTTTGCAGCGGCAGTTTCGCATCAGCCAGTCCTCAGTAAGTGATCTCCTTGAGCAGTGCTCCTCATGGATACTTCGCTCCTTGCGGAGACCTGCGTAGACCTCCCCACTCCCCCCTCCTCCCTCCTCCCTCCTCGCTCCTCCCACCCGCATCCATGTTTTTTTACACCCGCGAGGCCTCCCACCGTCTTCAAAACGTACACACGCATGGGGCGGCTGTTCTCAACGACCGTCTCTGGCCCACCCTGCGGTGCAGGCAGAGCTCCGTGGCGGCCCCACACACACAGGTGAACGGCGCGCCACTGGACATACGGCGCTGCTCCCTCTCCACTTTTTCGCCCTCCCTCCTCGCGCGCTTCGCTGGGTACGGGCCCACTGGCGGCCGTCACGGGAGAGTTCGAGCGGCTTCCCCCGCTCATTCCTCCCTCTTCTCGAAGAGAAGAAACGGCATACCTTGTACATGTCTGGCGCTCCGCGTGGAGCGCCAAAGGTTTATGTTATTGCAGACTTGTTTGTTGTTATTCTTCTTGTTCTTCTCCCTCCCCCAACTTTCCCAAGGGTGCGTCTTGCTTAGATTCGTGAGGAGGAGCCGGCCATGGCGACGAGAAGCCTCCAATTATCTCCAAATGGACGAGCGGCGTCAAGCATGTCGATCTTCGACCTCGAAGCTCGAATCCTCCTTGAGGCGTCAAGGTTGCGGGCTGGTCTTCGACCTTGAGCCTTCGAAAGCACCCATCTCCTCTCCCGGCCACAGGCCAGGGGGAGGGAGAGGACAGGTAAGAGCAGGTGCCTGAGATGGGGAGGATCATTCAGGAAACGCCGACGCGTATTAAGGCGCGTGGATTAGCGACGGGCCCTGTTTTCACACGAACTCGACGCGCTCCGTCGCCAAATCGGGCGGCGCTGGCCTCATGCTTCGCCCCGATCCGTGGATCTGGAGCCGGGGCGCCAGATCCGCGGATCCGTGACCCATGTCAGCGTGCGCCCGAGCGGAGAGTCGGCGGGCGGGCCTTCTCGGAAGGCTCGGAAGGCCTCCCGCCTTCTGAGAAGTCCCGCCGCCTTCCGGGAAGGCCTTCTCCTGCTCACCTCCCCCCCCTGGGCGCGCCGCCGAGGGGGGGACGACGACGGCTGCGGCGACAGCACGGGCGGGAGAAGGACGCTTGAGCAGGGGATCGACCACAGAATCGATGTGCCCCAAGATTAGCTGCCTCGTCGAATCTGCGGAAAAATACTCAGAGTCCTCAGGAGGAGGAGGAGGAGGAGGAGGAGGAGGAGGAGGAGGAGGAGGAGGAGGAGGACGAGGAGGAGGAGGAGGAGGGAGGAGGAGGAGGAGGAGGAGGGAGGAGGAGGAGGAGGAGGAGGAGGAGGAGGAGGAGGAGGAGGAGGAGGGAGGAGGAGGAGGAGGAGGAGGAGGAGGGAGGAGGAGGAGGAGGAGGGAGCATTCCACGTATTCGTCGTAGCTTCGATAGGGGAAATCCATTTTTTTGGGGGGGGGAAGGGGGCCTGTCGGCGGCCGCAGGCGCGCGGCGGGGGCGCGTTTCGCAGCCGCCCTGCCCGCGCGCCCCGAGAGGTGAGCTGCTCCGGCCGCCGAGTCCAGGAGCGCCGTGCGCGGCGGGGTCGAGGAGGATGGGGAGCAGGAGGGGCTGGGAGCAGCGGCAGCAGTAGTTCCAGCAGTAGCAGCAGTAGTAGCAGTGGATAAGACCGTGCTCGCCGTGGTACGAGCGCAGGATGGGGAGCAGGGGGGGGAGGGGGAGGCGAGGAGGCGGCGGCGGCTGCTTCTGCTGCTGCTGCTGCTGGCTGCGATGCTTGTGGCCATGGTGGTGGTGATGGTGATGAGGATGATGATGATGATGATGATGATGATGATGATGATGATGATGATGATGATGGTGATGCTGATGGTGATGGTGATGATGATGATGATGATGGTGATGATGATGGTGATGGTGATGAGGATGGTGATGATGATGCTGATGATGATGATGGTGATGGTGATGGTGATGGTGATGGTGATGGTGATGGAGACGGTGATGGTGATGCTGCTGCCGAGGAGGAGGAGGAGGCCGAGAAGGACTATGATGATGCTGATGCTGCTGCCGAGGAGGAGGATGAGGAGGAGGATGAGGAGAAGGAGGCGGGGGAGGATGAGGATGATCCTGATTTTGAGGAGGAGGTGGTGGAGGAGGAGGAGGAGGAAAGGGGGAGGAAGGAGGAGGAGGAGGAAGAGGAAGGAAGTGGAGGAGAATGAGGAGGATGACGATAATGCTGACGATGAGCTGCAAGGGTTACGGGTAAGAGGGGCAGGCTCTCTTGAATTGTCATTGTGCCCAAGTAGGACAGACACACGCAAGGAAACTGACACGAAGTTCGGCCGTAATTTTGCGCAACACTGGCTGATCACCGGGCCGTTCGAAGTTCTTTGCAGTAAGACTTCTTGGGTACCTTGTCACCTGTCCCGGTGCGCTGTTGTCGTAACTGTCCCTGCGCGATGGTAATACTTCTTGGGTACCTTGTCACCTGTCCCGGTGCGCTGTTGTCATAACTGTCCCGGCGCGATGGTGTACTAAATGTGCCAGTGCGTCGGCGTGGACCGAAGATTTTTCTGTGAGCAGTCCTCGTCGCCCGAGGAGCATGCGCCTGCGCAGCCAGTCCTAGCAGCTCAGGCTTGATCCTGGGCGAGTGCCCTCGATGACCGAGGGCCGAACTGCTGCGGTGTGTCTGCCGACCGAAGAAGGTGAAGCCGTCCCTCTTGCGAAAAGAGCTGCCGTCGGGAACTTTTGGACAGCGTGTCGCTCCGCGGGTTATGGCCCACCACGCTTCGGTCAGGAGCCTTTAGACGGGGTTCAGTGCGAACGGGGGTCAGCCAGAGCGCCGGATCTTGCAGGATCCTACAGAGCCAAGGTTGCATCCAGGCTAGGGTGCAGGATCTTGCAGGGTCCTGCAGGATCTTGCAGGATCCTGCAAAGCTTGACTGACCCGGGTCTGGTTTGAAGGAAAAACTACCCGGACTCGACAATTGGCGTTTGCTAAACGGCCCTGGGCGTTTACTAAGCAGCCCTGCCCTGTTCGATTCCTTCCTTGGGTGCGTTTGCTAAACGGCCTCCATTGTCGGGGTGATTATTACAGGGGTGGATTTTCTGCCCTATATGGACTGACCCGGGTTAGTAGATCCCCGGTTCGGTGCGACACGCTATGCACTTCCGTCATCCCAAACGTCACTGGCCCGAGCATTTTCAACCTCCCGCCCCGCGGACTGGACAACATGGTGACTACAAGGTGAGGGATTAGTAAGATCAGGTCAGAAGCTGACAACACATCGGTGCGGGCTTACTTGAAACGTGGCTGCCAGGTGGTTTCTTCAGTCAAGTGCGGCTCCATCGCGCGCAGGGTGATGTCTCACACGAATTCGCCATCTGCAGGGGGGAGAAGGGCGCGGATTTGCACCGGATCTTGAGGTGTGAATGGCACTGTCGCGAGAGGCAAGACTTGCGTGGCCATGAGAGGAAGGTGCTGGAGTGGGGAAAGAACTGATGTATGGCAAGATCCTCCTGATCCGCTGCGTGGCCTGTCGCTGCCACGTGCCGAGGACCACGTGCGGTGGCGTCAGTCCACGGCGAGTGGTCTGGTCAGTGGGAACGCGCGTGTGGATGGCGCCTGCAAGTGGCCAAGCTGCGAGCTCGGGGTCCGCGGTGCCGTGCCTGGGCCTCCCTGCCCCGGCAGACGCCTGGAGCGGCCGCGCCCCGAGCAGCTGCGCAGGCCAGCCAGCGCAAGAGCCAGAACGGCATCAACACCGTCGCGGACCACGGAGCAGATTGCTCATGCGAGGGGGGAAAGGGGCCAAGCGCATGGCTGCATCGTCGAGCACCGGTGCTCGGAGCTGTGAGCAGAGTTGAGGGCCGCAGTCCGCGGCGCTGGCAAGGGCCGGGTCACCACCGCGGGGGTGCCCTCCCACCACTCACCACCGGAGGCCCTCCGACCAGGAATTTCCTGTCTCGCGTTGGCGTGGAAGCAAGCTCTTGGATTACTGTTCTGAAGGAGGGGCTCGCATGCATCCGCGACGACTCCCAGATGAACAACTTCGAGACCTGCGAGCTGGCCCGGCGGGACCGACGCCACGGCTCGCGCTGCGAATCCTGTGCTTTTGTGCAGAAGGGACTTGGGCAGACGTTGAGAAGCTAAGATATTTTGACAGGGCTCCAGGCATCTTTCTGAGTGATGACCGCGAGTACGACGTTAGGAGGCTTTTAAGGGTAGGTGGATTTGCGCCAAGTGCGGAGATAGCCTTGCCCAACGTCTGGGGCTTTCCACTTTTGTCTGCGGGGCCCACTCCAAGGGGTCTGAGGGGCCCCTGCGCCCCCGCGCGTGTCTGTAGGGCGGGCCGGTGCTCTCCGCTAGGACTCATTCGCCAAGACTTCCTCACCGTCTGACTATGATGCTGAACCTCGTGCAGCATCTTCACGGATGAACTGCGGGCCGTTTCCCAAACGTGGTTTTCGCTCCAGCGCGGTTCGAATTTTGCCCCAACAGGTTGTGGCAGTTTCGCGGATGGAGGGCGGGGCGTTTTCAATACGGGGGTCTCGCCTTGGCGCTGTGCACGTTCGTCTTGAGAGCTCGGAGCAGCTTCGCAGATGGAGGGCGGGCCGTTTTCGAAGCGTCTCTCTGGCCTCAGCGCCGCGCGCACTCGTGTCAAACATTCGCAGCAGTTCCACGGATGCAGGGCGTTTTTTTTGTTTTTGATTTTTTGGTTTGTTTGTGTGTGTGTGTGCGTGTTGGTGTAATATGTATATATACATGCAACCAGTGTTTCTTCTTTTCAGCATGTGGTTCTCACCATCGCGCCGCGCACATGAGTGTCAACCATTTGCGCAGTGATACACATGGAGTTTATTGTATACACCAACTGTGGCTCTCGCCGAGGCGCCGCGCACATTCATTTTAAAATCTCGCAGCAATTTCGCACATGTAGGGCGGATCCTTTACAACATGTCTTTTTCTTGAACGCCAGGTACATTCGCTTTAAACGTTTGTAGCAGTTACACGGATTGGCATGGACAGTCGGGTGGGTTCGCGGTGTTCAAGTTCTAGGGATTGTGCCTCTGCCCGCTTTAGGATTGTGAGGACGCAACAGTCACGCGGATTCGCGGCATTGGAGTCCCAGGAACTCTGCTTTGGCACGGTTGGGGACCCTCAGACGGCTAGCTTCCAATGAGACATCTACCACCATGCGAATACATTCTTGTAGGGACCTATGAGAAGGAAGACGGAGCCTGGCAGGAGGGTGTATTTCAACATAGTTGATGTTTCTTTGATTTACACTGGTCCTCCTCCTCCTCCGTGTCCTCCTATCCCTCCCTCACGCCCTCCAGCCTCCCTCCCTGCCTGCCTCCCCCTCGCTGATCCGTCCCCCGGCCTCCGCCTCCACCTCGCCCTCCCTCTTCCTTCCCCCCCCTCCCGGTCTCCCTCTCCTACCCCCCCATCCTGGGGGAGGCGCTGCAGCAGAGGCGGCGGAGGGGCCGCGGGTCGCGCCGCCGCGCGGCTCGCTGCAGCCACTCCGCGCAAGGGCGCGCAGACCGCAGCGCGCCTGCGCGGCCCCGGGCCCCCGGGAGGGCCCTCGTCTCTCTCCGGGCAAGCGCCGCAAGACCGCGACCGCAGCCGTGCTTCCGCCCCTCCTCGGAGGGCACCAGCTATACACCTGCACCGGCCCCGGCCGGGCCGATCCTGGGCCCAGGAGCGGTGCGCATGCATTCTGCCCAAGGCGGGGGGGCGTCTACCCCGATCCTGGGTCCAGGGTGATCCTGGCCAGGATCGGTGTTGGTGCATAGTTGGTACCTCTTCCTACCTCATCCCGCCTCCTCCTCCTCCTCCTCCTCCTCCTCCTCCTCCTCCTCCTCCTCCTCCTCATCATCATCATCATCATCATCATCATCATCATCATCATCCCCCTCCTCCTCCTCTCCTCCTCCTCCTCCTCCTCCTCCTCCTCCTCCTTCCCCTCCTCCTCCTCCTCCTCCCCGCAGGAGTGCCGCGCGGTCACCTGGAAAATGGTATCCGAGGCGCGCGCCGGCGGCGCCGAGCCGCGCGGCCCGCCCAGCACCCCCTCCTCCGGGCTCCGCGCTCGCCCGCGCTCTCGCCGGCTCCCCTTAAGTTGGGCGTGTCCCTCTACAGGAGGAATATTCTGACAATTTCGACTTTTTGCTTGTAAGCAAAATCTGACTATTGTGAACTCTTCCTCCAAAATCCGACTGTAGGGGGACATGCACGACCTAAGGCTCGCCCCCTTCTTCTCCGTCGGAAGTGCCACACCAGTGCTCTGACCACAACGTCGGAGTCTCAGAGGAGGAAGAGGTACCAGTATTGCTATGCCCATCCCTAGTTTTTTTGTCGCTCTCTGGGGGCCTCATGGGAGGCCCTCGTCGCCACGGCTGGATTCGCCTCGAGATTCTGGTCAGAACGCACCCCGCAAGAGGTTTGATGATCTCGATTTAGGGTTAGCCAGGGCCCCGGTTAAGGGGAGCCGGTCAGTGATTGGGCCCCGAGGTCCAAAATATGGACTGGAATCACTAAACCAGGTCTG